TAGATAGATAGATAGATAGATAGATAGATAGATAGATAGATAGATAGATAGATAGATAGATAGATAGATAGATGAATCTCTCAGATACTGAAAAGACAAAATACATACTTTTTTTCTCTGCTTTCTCACTGCTGTAGAAAAAAATATTTTAGGTGAAGTGCAATTTCTAGTACAAGGTTTTCAGTCTTTCTGTCTGTGAAAAAACAAACCTAACTAAAGTAGGAAAGAAAATGGTTATAAGTCAATTGGTGGTATCACTTGGATCCCCAAACCTAATTAAAATTATGAATGAGTAAAAGCAAAAAAAAACCTAAAAAGTTGATATTCATCTCTCACCTACTGCAGTTGATTTATGCAGTTCTTCCTAGGTGCCATTTAAATATGTCCTTTTACAACTCATAATTCCTAAGTCAGTTTGTAAATGTAATACTGAAACAGAGCACCAAGATGAGAAAAAATAGCTTTATTTCTGTTCAAAAGGTGTTCAATATCCACTAGCCATATTTCATGCAAACCTGACATCTGCCGATATTTCGGCGTTGTTCTTGTTGATCTTTGATAGTTCCTGGGACAGGGGATGATAAAAACTGTGTCTCATTGTTCACTGTAGTTAGCCAGAAACTGTATTCATTAATAAAAAAGTGACATGTTCCTTGTCGACCCTGGCATTCAATAAAGGGTGCTGATCGGAAGTCCTCCAGGCAGCTTCCAGGTGACGTGAGAGACTGTCCACCTCCTTGGTCACCAGATCCTGTATGCTGAAAAAAGAAAAAAGAAAGATATCACCTATGCCAGTGATGGCAAACCTTTTTCACCTCGGGTGCCAAAAACACGCTATCGTGACATACCCACCCCCTTAATTTAATGCCTCCCATATCCCCTGCGCATGTCCATGTGACAACAACCCCCCCTGCTGCCCTGCGCATATGCGCATGGCTTTCTTGAGAGTTTGGGGAGGGTGAAAACGGCCTCCCCCGCCCCCTGGAGGCTGGAAACAGCCCGCTTTCCAACTTTTGGTGGCCCCGGTAGGTCCATTTTTCATCCTCTCCAGGCTGCAGAGGCTTTCTAGGAGTCTGAGGAAGGCCCTGCATACCACTTGTGGCATGCGTGCCATAGGTTCGTCATCACAGACCTATGTCATCCAATCATACATACTCGGGAATAACTGCTTTTTCTGGATTTCTAATCACACTGCACTCTGAAGCTACTGTTATTAAGTTTAATTCAGGGTCAAAGCACTGATGCTTAATATGTATTGGGCATTTTTTTTATCTTTCCCATTTATTCTTAGTACTGATCCTGAATGGACTCCTAATTTGACTGGAGCCAGTGGAAATGTAGCAGTAGTACTTCTGATTAGCATGCACTTCTAACTAAATGCAGGAGGTTCAACATTATTTACAATATCAAGCAGCTCACAATAAAACAATGTATTGTTGTGAGTGGACAGAGTGGAAAATCCCCAAATAGTTGTTTATACAGAAAACCTATTGGTTTCTAATCATCATTGCTGCTGCTACATGTTTTGTACGTATCTTAGATATTTCAGTACATTGATGTCATTATAATTGATCTACAACTGATTACGGTAGACTGGAAAGCTTACTAATAAGTGGTATTGGAATGTTTACATCGTCCCTTTGGAACGATCTCCCCGTGGAGATTCGTACCCTCACCACCCTCCAGACCTTCCACACAGCCCTCAAGACCTGGCTATCCCGTCAGGCCTGGGGTTAAAGATTATATTCCATCCCTGCCCGAATGCTGAATGAATGTTGCTTTACTCTTTTAATTATGTATTGTCCTATATGTCTTTGTATGTTTCCCCTTCCTATATAAGTTGTAAGCCGCCCTGAGTCCCCTCAGGGAAAAGGGCGGCCTATAAATAAACTTAACCTATAACCTATAACCTATAAAATATAGATAGTTCTCACTTAACAACTTTAGTGACTTTTTAAAGTAATGACGGCATTGAAAAGATAACATTGTATCCTCTCCTTGCGTTTACAACTATTGCAGGGTACTTGTGATCACATGATCAAGATTTATGCACATCGCAACCAGCAGGCACAATAATTGCAGCATCATGTAGTCATGATTGCCCTTTGCACGTTTCATAGCCGGATTCCGACAGGCAGAATCAATGAAGAACCCAGCAGTAAAATCACAAGTTGCAGTCATATGATGTTTCACTTAACTGCAGGCGATTCACTTAATGATCATGGCAGAAGTGAAGAAATGTCTGTCATAGTCACCTGATGTTTGCTTACCCCTCCCAATTCTATTCATTAAGCAGCCACTACCTATAAAACTACTATCCCTCCTCCCAAACAATGAAATCCAAATCTAAGATAAATCTAGTGGGGGGGGGAGCAGTAGCATATTAATGTATAATTAAATAATATATTGGGGATTTTTCATTGAAAAAAATTGCTTTAAATTTACTTTTTAAAAAATAAGAATCAAGTTTATTACACTTCTATTGCAGCAATATTTTATAGGAGAAATGTAGAGGTAAATTATTACAATGCTCATTTTTTGAATTAAGGTAGGATAAAAGGTTGCTTGGCATGCATGGAAATTCTCAATCATCTAGGTCATGGTTGTCCGAGAGGTGCTTTTCAAAAGGCAAATGGACTTCTTTAGCTTTTTCCTTTGAAAATATTTCACTTCTCATCCAGGAAGCTTCTTCATTTCTGAACTGAAACATTTTGTTGGATGAGGAGCAAAACACTTTCAAGAAACACCCCCCTCCCCAAGAAAGTCCAGTTGCCTTTTGAAAAGCATCTCTGGCTTAGGCTGCTTTATGATTTACTTCAAAGTTAATAGTCATATATTTATCAGATAGACCCCCAACTATAAAGTAAGATTCTGTGATGATTTTAAGAGTATTCTGAAAGCAAGAAACATCTGTTAATGAACAAATGAAAACTGAAGTTATCAGGTCAGTATTATAGGAATTCATACTGGTTTTTTTAATAACAATATTCCATGTTAGAGCCTTCCTTGGTGGCGCAGTGATTAGAATGCAATATTGCAGGCTAACTGCTGACTACCAGGAATTCGATCTAGCTGACTAGCTCAAGGTTCGCTCAGCCTTCCATCCTTCCGGTGTTGGTAAAATGAGGACTCCAGTTTGTTGGAGACAATATGCTGACTCTAAACTGCTTAGAGAGGGCTGTAAAACACTATGAATTGGTATATAAGTCTTAAGTGCTAGTGCTAGTTAGATCATGCTGGTATTCATCCTTACCATTAAGAATGAGTAACCTATCCAAAGACTTCTCCAGTTTGGTGGACAAGAAGGAATAGATTGATCTTGACTATGAACTGCAACGGCTTGGGCAGGAGCTTCACATACTACACATCTACTAATATAGTGCTCTATTTCTTCATCTGAGATGGGCATCATGGGCAAAGGAGCTGCACTTGAAAGCCAGTAAGATTTATCATTTCGACTTGCATAGTAGCAGACTTGATTGACATTGCAGTAGGTAAAAGGCATCGTGCTAAACACCGGGAGACAGGATCCAGCCAGACCTAGAAAACAATTGAGATTTAATTACCGATCCAAATATTAGCAATATTAATAATTGCTAGAGTAGATTTATTCTTTATCTCACTTTAGTTCTACAAAACCAGTAAGTGATAACGATATTTGATGCAATTACAGAATTTCTAAATAAAAGCTAATGTGTTCCAGAATAAACAGCTACACAAACCAGGCATTATTTATTTTATTTATTTATTTTATTTTATTTATTTATTTATTTATTTATTTTATTTATTTTATTTATTTATGCTTACTGTAGTGTCTAAGTGCTATGTAAACAATTTTATTATGATGGAAATTTTAGAATAAAGATTGAATATTTTCCTAACGATACAGTCCATTTGGAGAAAATAAATGTCAGTTTCAAACATTAGATAAGAGTAGAAGAGTCTTGCCTGAATCCCTGATGAAACAGTCCCAATAGTGTAAACATTTCTGAGATAAATGGAACCAACATATGGCCCAGAGCAAACCAGGTTTTGCTCAACAAACCACTGTATAGGTTTTGATTGCTGATTTATAAAATGCAACTAATGGGATACAAATTGCACCTCCAGTATTTTGATAAAACATCAAGGATGTTACTATAACAAATTCTGTAATTTTGATTATGTACAGTACATTTTCTTATTTATCCGTAATTTTTTAAAAAATGGAAATAGTGGCACTTGTCCATAGTAAAACAGACTATTCCATATTTTATATAAATTAAAATGCCCATTTTAGCTCATTTTAAAATGTTTGTAGTAACATCAGGATTATAACGTGCTCTCCAGAAGTGGGTTGCTGCCAGTTCAGCCAAATCAGTAGTGGAATTCAGGCCTGGGTTGCGGAACCGGAAGCGACCCAGGCCTGCCATGCCCTCGGACCGGTTCCCTCCTAAACCAGTTCCCTCGCCGCCACCATTTTGTTTTTTTGTGACTGCGCTATTCACTGTAAATTGTTCTGTACATGTGCAAAGAACAATTTACACTGAACAGTGCACACATGGGTTATGAACCGGTAGTAAAAACGGCAGCAACCCACCCCTGCTGCTCTCCAAAATCATGCCTAAATCTCTAGTAATGAATGAGGGTATGATCAGGCATATAAAATTATTGCAAATAAAACCAAAGATGCAACCCTTTGGGCATTCCACCTTCAGCAGAGGCAACCTGATGTGAAAGTTCAAGTAGGGGAATAGAGAATAACTATTACATGAAACAAAATGGTTCCTCACAAATAGTAGACAACAGCAGATAGTAGACAACAGATTCAGATTCAGGTAGCTATGGCTTATAAGAAAAAGTCTGATAACATTAGTTTCTAAATAAGTTTAACAATGGACAGTCAACTTGTCATTCCTTGTAAGCTGATCTATTACACCTAATAACTGAGACTTCAGAAAGGGATTATATGTTGGAAGCTCCCCAGAACTACAATTTGCAATAAAAGGGCAAAATATTACAACTTTTTAAAGTAAAGATATTATAATGCTCACCAAGATCTTGATTATGGGCTTTCTCCTGCCCTTCAAAATACAGCAGACTGTATCCAGTCCACAATCTTGTCATTCCCTCAGGGCAAAATGGTTCTGTTTCTGACTGACTATGCAAAACAAGCAGGAACCCGCTACTCCATTTGGATGCTGATCCTGGTTGCCCTGGAATCCCAGTTTGGCCTGGAGGACCTTAAGGAATGGAGAAAAGGAAGACAAGTAAGAACCTACTTAAAAGTTGGCCCTATTTTAAAAAAATACTTTTCTAGTATTGGTTTCAGAGTGGGTGAGGTCTTTATTTCTAGAATTGAAATCTATCTATCTATCATCCATCCATCCATCCATCCATCCATCCATCCATCCATCCATCCATCCATCCATCC